AAAAAAAAAAAAAAAGAATAGAAGGGTAGATACTGCCCTGTGTCATACAGTTTCAACCCTTTGTTATATCTTAGGCCAAATGACTCACTCCTGATTTAAACTGAAGTTGAGTTTCTTGTTTTCCTGCTTCTTTATGCATTGGTTTACTTAACATTTCTTAATGACTACCATGGGCCTGAAAGATACAAAGCAGATACGAAGGTGTTCAAGATACAAAGGAAAACCCTTGTCCTCAAGAAGCTCATTTGGATAACTGGATAGTAGTGTATATGCCATTGTAGAAATAAAATTATGTTGCCTTTGAAAAGCAAAATTCAATATATGAATATGTCTTTGGGCTAGAATCTCTTGAATCAATAGGCAAATATAAATAGAACTATTATTATTAATACTATTACTGTCCTATAATATGAATACTATGTGAGAAAAAGACAACCTTATTCTTTCTTTAGTCTATTAGTCTTTATTCTATCATTTGGCTTTCTTCAAAATTGAAAAAATACCTCAGGTATTCATTGAATATAGGTCCTAAATACTTTCTTGTTTTAAGCTTCAGGCTGTAGACCTGTGCTGTCCAATACCTCAGTCACTGGCCACATGTGGTATTGGGCACCTGAAATGTGGCTGGTGCAACCTAGGACTTAAATTTCAAACTATATTTAATTTTAATTAATTTAAATTTAAAAACTGATAATTCCGCTATTATGAAATTTTGAAGTATGTTTGGAGCAACTTGAGTATGTTAAACTACTTTTTCAACTGTAAATGTTATGAAATAGAAATGCAGATTAAATATTTCCTAGGAAAATTTAGCAGTCAAATTGAGATGTGCTGTTATAAGTGTAGAATTCACGCTGGATATCTTATTAATAATTTTTATATTGATTACCTGTTGAAATGATAATATTTTAATATAGTGATAAAATAATACATATTTTAAAAGTTTATTTCACCCAGTTCTTTTTACTTTTTGAAAATGTGACTACTTGAAAAATTTCAATTGCGTACTATGGCTAATACTATATTTCTATTGGAGAGTGCTACATTAGACTCTGACTTTTTCTCAAAAGGAGTATATAATTTTTGAAACCACACACTTAAAAGACAAACTTAGGAGGATCAGGGTAGATGGAAAGCAATTACCACACGTTACTAATGGGATATTTTTTTACCTTACTTGAGGTGGTGGAATTCCTACCACTATGCAATCCAACTGTACTCTGGTTCCTTCTGGAACTTCTCTGCTCCGTAACTTTTGAGTGAAACGAGGAGGTTGCCCCAGAGGTTCTTCATAGTACAAAGATGAAGGTGAAGACTCGGGGGTGGTGTCTCCACCCGCAGCCTGCTCAGCTTCGCGCCTCTTAGCTTCCTGCCTTTCAAGGGCGTGATTCACTTCATTATCCCTAGTATCTGCAGGGATAGGGATGGGAACAGAAGATCTTTCTCTTCTTTCTGAGATATCTGACAAACTGGAGCTATTTTCCTGCATAAGTTTGTTTTGAGATTCCAATTTACTCTTGTGGTTTTTGCAGGCACGAGGTCTAATCCTTTTGGAGCTATGGGCTTTGAAAAGGGAGGACAGCTCTTCAATGAAATCGGCAGCCTTATTTAAGAATACTTTTTTGGACTGGGTTTCAGAACTATACTGTGGCCTTTTTGCCTCCTGGGGGCTCTCTTCAGAGCTGGTAGGACCTTGAGAGTTATCCTGACAGAAGTTGGGGTCAAAACTTGATTTAGGTGAGTGTTTCATTTGATCAGATGAAAGATGTTTTCTAGCTTGAGCTTCATCTGCTTTCTCCAAAGGGTCGTGATTGATGGCCAATCTTGCCAGATTGACACTTTCATCTAATTCTTCTTGGCTCAAGAAGGCTGAGAGATCTGGAAGGTCATCTTGACCTCCTCCTTCAGCAGCTCCAGAAGGATTGCCAAAATGAAAAGGGTTGGAGGAAGGTTCTGCTCGACTCCTCTCACTGTTTCCCCGATGTCTAGTTTCTGCTAAATAGCTCTCTCTTAGAAGTTGAGATATGGAAGTAGAAGCTTCTAGGCTGTCGTCTTGCATGCTGTCACAAAATAATAATAACAAAAAGTTGGGTCATTTCTAAAGAATAACAGATCTATAAGCATGATGGATTTTTTTTTAAAGATTTTATTTATTTATTTGACAGAGAGATAGAGAGAGAGCACAAGTAGGCAGAGTGGCAGGCAGAGGGAGAGGGAGAAGCAGGCTCTCCGCTGAGCAGGGAGCCAGACGTGGGGCTCGATCCCAGGACCCCAGGATCATGACCTGAGCAGAAGGCAGCCGCTTAATCGACTGAGCCACCCAGGCGCCCCTAAGCATGATGGATTTTTAAGAACTTAAAGTTTGAAATTAAAAAATTGCCTAATTTTGATACTTCTACAAAATTTACATTAAAGACTTAGAGATTAACCTTAAATTGTAAAATGAAGAGGAACTGAATGAGATTGTCCTGAGATATAAAATAAAAACATGGGTGATAACCACTCTATTAAGTTCTTTAATACAACAAATTCAATTGTGAAAGCTATGATGTAGCTATAGTGATATTAAATACAACTTCTAAACGTAATTTTGATAATATCTATAAAGGGCTTTTAGTTATAAAGACCTTTCATACACAGAGATTTGTTGTCCATACTCTCCCCTTTACCTTGAATGCAATAAAATATAGAAATTAAAAGATACTGACAACAGCAGTTTTTCATTTCATTCATAAAAAGCCCTACATAAATTGACATTATCTCCTATGGTTTCAAGACTTTTTCATTCAGCTTCACCCATACCGGTTTCTTATTATTCCTGAAATATTCTAAAGTCACATCTGAAATGCCTCAGAACATTTGCACTTGCTATTGCCTGTACCTGGAATGCTCTTTCTGACAATGCTATGTGACTCACTTCTCACTTCCTTCAATTATCCGTCCATCTATTCTCTCCTCAGTGGTTCCTTCTTTATGGCCCAACATAAGATGGCAATCCCCTTCCAGCCTATCCTTTTTACTCAGTTTGGTTTTCTCAGTACCACTTATCTCCATGAGAAATATCTGGCATGCACATTTTTAGCAGCTTGTCATTTTCCTCCCACTAAAATGTAACTTTTACCAATGCAAAGACTTAGATCCCAATAAATAACTGTTAAACTAATGAATAAACTCTTCTTTGAATTGGAAAAGAAGATACAACATAATCTCATTTAGTTACTGAAAACATCAATTTGATCCAGTTCATGAAAATAAATAATACTTTTGGTTTTCGACTAGAGACAAGTTGTTTAAATTCATTGTTGTTTACAGGTTCAATCTGCTCTTGAAAAGTGTAATGATTTAGCCTTTTCAGATAAAGGTATAATTAATTTAATTTCTACGAAGATATGAGTTAGAGCCTAGATTTTTAAAAATCTCTTATATTAACATTGGTGAAGAGGGGATATAGGAGACAGGGAAATGAGGTTCAAGACAGGACACCCCTAAACTGTATTTCACTGTATACCCTTTCCTGACTTTTGAGTGTCAATTATATGAGGATATTACTGATTCAAAAAATAAATAATTTTTTAAAATATTGAGAAAATACTACAGTAACTTTAGTTAAAAGCCCCCCTGAAGTAGAGAGTTTGGTAATACAAAGCAACTTTATATTATTAACATTTTATCATTTATTTAGTCACACATTTACTAGAGGGATGGCAAACTCGTGACCTGTAGGCTGTTACTTCTCTCTTTCCTTAAAAGATACAGCTAACAGAGTACAGTGTTCTTCCCGTAAGATCTTGACTTTCTTAACACTCTACTCCTTCAGTCACCACCAATCAATCAGAGATGGTAATAGAGATGAAGACCGTTTGCCATTCTTGGCTACTACCTGCTAGGCCTTGTGCTGGGAAGATGGAGAGGAAAGTAATCTAAATCTTTTTAGGCTACACATAATTCTTTTTTTTTTTTTTTTAATTTTATTTATTTGCCAGGGAGAGAGAGCGAGAGAGTACAAGCAGGGGGGACTGCAGGCAGAGGGAGAAGCAGGCTGATACGGGGCTCGATCCTAGGACCCTGGGACCATGACCTGAGCCGAAGGCAGACGCTTAACCGACTGAGCCACCCAGGCATCCCTAGGCTTTACGATTCTTTTTTTTTTTTTTAAAGATTTTTTTTTTTTTAATTTATTTGAGACAGAGAGAACGAGAGAGAGAGAGAGAGCACATGAGAGGGGGGAGGGTCAGAGGCAGAAGCAGGCTCCCCGCCAAGCAGGGAGCTCGATGCGGGACTCGATCCCGGGACTCCAGGATCATGACCTGAGCCGAAGGCAGTCGCTTAACCAACTGAGCCACCCAGGCGCCCCAGGCTTTACGATTCTACAACAAAACTTGTTTCAGTTCATTCCTTTCCTTTCCCTTATATTACAGCCTTACTTACATCACGAAGAAGGCTTCCTAGGAACTGCTCTAACTCTAGAGCTTTTAGAGTGCTCTCCAAAACCAATATCTAACTTGGCAAAGTAAGCAGTCACCTTGAGAGGACAATTAGAGACAGTTGAACGGATCACCTACAGCCAAATATTTTTCCACATGCTTGTTACAGCCTGAAATTGCCACTACTGGAGTTATTTGTTTGGGTGAAGTCTATTGTGCCTTAAAGATGAATTAAAAATGCACAGAGGTTGGATGAGTGCAAAGATTTATCTACAAAGATATTCATTACAGTATAGATGATAGTATTAAAAAATTGGAACCATGTTCAATAAGAAGTTAGTTAATTGAATTATACTCATTAAATAGAGCTATCCAGCTATTTTAAATTTGGTAGCACTGTAGATGATATACAAAATGGTATATGAAAATATAATTGATATATCAATTGAAAATTTGTCTCATGTGTGCATTAACTATACAGAAGAAGAGTTAAAGATATGTACAATAAGGTGCAAAATGCTATTTTAAAATGTAATTAATATACTGATGAAAAATCCTTCTCATTTATAAATCAACTATTTCATTACCCTCATTTGAATTTCTGCATATACAGTTGACCCTTGCACAATGCGAGGGTTAGGAGCGCCAACCTTTGCACAGTCAGAAACCCATGTATAACTTTTGATTCTTCCCAAACATAACTACTAATAGCCTACTATTGACCAGAATCCTTGCCAATAGCATAAACAATTAAAACATATTTTATATGTTATATGTATTATATACCACATTCTCACAATAAAGTAAGCTAGAAAAAAGAAAATGTTTTAGGAAAATCTTAAGGAAGAGAAAATGCATTTACAGCACTGTACTGTATTTTTAAAAAAATCTAAAATAATCAACGTATAAGTGGACCCACACACAGTTCAAACCCATGTTGTTCAAGGGCCAACTGTATTTAAATGTAAGGGGAAAAATTAAGTAATTTATAAATCAGAATAGTCTTCTATTTGTTGAACACTACTGCATATTGTGTTTTAATGTAACTTCATCTCTAACTCTGTATTCTAAGATGGCTTTTATCTCGAGCCAACATGGAATGAGCATAATTGGCCTTGGGATCAGATTGGTTTTCAAATTCTGGTTTCATGAACTCTCAGCAGTTGTGTGACTTTGAGGAAATTACTTACTTCTCTGAGCTTTGGATTCCTCATCTGTAAAACATGGATAATACCTAATCTCTACGAGAGTGACGATTAATAACATCATGAATGCAAAGCCCTTAAAACAGGGCCAGCCCCTGTAATGGACACTCAAATGATGTTAGTAAAAAACAATATTTAGGTGGCTCAGTCGGTTAAGTGTCTGCCTTTGGCTTGGGTCTTGATCTCCGGGTTCTGGGATTGAGCCCCACATTGGGCTCCCTGCTCAGTGGGGAGTCTGCTTCTCTCTCTCTCTCTCAAATAAATAAATAAATTCTTTAAAAAAAAAACAATATTTAGGTAAAGGTGATGTTAACGTTGAAAAACTTTTAAGAACTTTATATTTATGGTGGAAGTAGGTAAGAAAATACTCATAAAAAGTAATCACTGCTCTCTGTAACCATTTTTTTCTTTTTTAAGAAAAGAAGCCGGGCGCCTGGGTGGCTCAGTCGGTTAAGCGTCTGCTTTCGGCTCAGGTCATGATCCCGGAGTCCTGGGATTGAGCCCCACATCGGGCTCCCTGCTCAGCGGGGAGTCTGCTTCTCCCTCTCCCTCTGCTTGCCGCTCTGCCTACTTGTGCTCTCTATCTCTCTGTCAAATAAATAAATAAAATCTTTAAAAAAAAAAAAAAGAAAAGAAGCCAATTGAGGTGCAAATGCGTGCTTGTCTGATGCTTATGGTTATAAGAAATTATTATGATAACAAAACTTTCGAGTATTCAAAATAAAGAATTGCTTTAATGTTTGAATTTAATTAATGTTTAATTAATTTATTTAATGTTCTTTAATGTAGTGTTTATTACCTAAAAATTTGGAGTTAGATAGATGTGGTTCAGATCCCAGTTCTGACACTTTCTGGCTGTATAAACTCAACAAAGTCACTTTTAACCTCTATAAGGCTCAGCTTACATGTCTACAAAACAGGAATAATAACACCAGCCATCTCATCGATTGAAGTGATGATTAAATGGGCTTGGCATTTAGTAAATGTTCAGTAAATGGTAGTTGCTGCTATTATTATTATTATTATTATTATTATTTTACATAACAACTCTAGTGACATACCAAGGGGTTGATCCTAGGACAAAGTTTGAAGAGCAGCTGAGCTGCAGATTTGCAGTTAATTCAGCACCATTCATACTCTGTTGAAATACATGTAGTCTCATGAATGAACTGTGTTGCCTGCAGATTTTTGTATATATTTTCTTTGTTAGGTGGCTGCCTGTCCCCACCTCCCTTCACTACCTTACTGGGCCAAGTTCTACATGGTCTTCAGTTCTTAGCTGAGACATCGCCGTGGGATTTCGTCTTTGTTCTGGGTTGGGTACCTCTGCAATATGCTCGCAAAGCACTCTGTCCTTACCTCCAAACACAGCAATTATCACAACATAGTAAATTGGCCTATTTACTCTTTGGTCTACCTCTCTTTGTGTTT